CACACACACACACACACACACACACACACACACACACACACACACACACACACACACACACACACGTACGAGTAACATCGGGTGTCGCCTGCTGCTGCTGTTGCTCATCTGCTTCAAGGTTCTGCTCAAAATTCAGAGATTCTCTTCCGGATCCCTTGATTATAATGAGTGTTTTTTTGAGTTACTGTTTACTGTCATGCTCGTGATTGGCCATGTCTACAAAATTACATCTTTCAGCACTTTGCGTGAAAGGTTCCAGTTTTGGTTTATTTAGTGGATGGTCCTCTGAGGGAAAAAAAAGAAGGGGAACAAAGTTTCCAGTTCATGAACTGCAAAGTTTCTGAACTAGTAGAAATTCAAATGTCACATCAGGTAATATTAGTTCAAGTTTTCTCGGCAGTATACCCCAAACATGTTGTTTGTACTTTCACCACCATAGTTTTTTACGAATTATGGATGTCAGAAATGAACTATGTCCCAACTTCCCATAGAGTACATAAACAGAAGAGCTTCTGCTGAGCCTTTTATAGCAATGACAAAAAATTGAGGTGACATTGGGGAAATCCTCACTAATAATGCATGATGTGATAGATTTCAGTCAGAATTAGACATAAACACTAAAGATCTATCAAATCTGTCTTGCGCATTTTCAAACGCCAAACCTCAGAAGCCCACTTCCTGGATGAGTCACGGATACAGAAAGCGAAGCAGAAGTCGTATCACGTTTCGTTTTATGACCATGATAGTGACTCCATAGACTAATGCAGCCATTGTGGTAGACAGACTTTATTTCTTGACGTAAAAGAACAGGGTGTTCAGAGTATGAATCTTCTGGTGACAGCTAGAGTAGATCAAACTATGAACTGAATGTATCCATCATAATATTTATAGTAAAAAGAACTGAAGCTAACATGACAGCTAACTGAGTCCCTATGCAGTATTAATTTAGTCTTGATGATTAGATTCTTGGTTCTGACCTGGGAAACATTTACATTAAATAGCATATATTTTAACACTGTTAACATCTCCATTTTAGGTCTTCTGCCAATGGTAATGTCTTCTTTTTATTAACAGGAAAAGTTACAGCCTCCAATCAATCAGTCAGTCAACAGGAGAGATCGACTGTGGATCAGCTGAATAATGTGGTATATAAAATATTAGATTTTCAGACAAACAGAACCAGCAAGCTTAAAATTTTCTTTAAGAAAAACACTTTTATCATGTGAAATACATTCAAATTGTCAAATGAATCTGAAGCTGAAGTGTAAAATTACAGTGTAGTCATCGATCACCACTGGCATCCCAACAAAAGCTGTAAGAGAGGGGGTTGGATTGGACTGATGAGTCAACAAGAATTGAACTTTGACACAGAGAGACACTTGTTAATGTTCAATTTTCAACTGTAGGGGAGACCGGGGATAGTTGTAACGTGGGTCAGTTGTAACACTTCCAATTTCTCCAATCAGGGCTAAGTTTCAAATGATGTGACTCATCCTGTGCATGCCCAATTCAGTTCTGCTATCACATGTGAAAAATCAGCACATTTTGTCAAACACAGACAATTTAACATGAAAAAAAGTAATTTGTATGCCAAAAAGTAAGTTTTTCTGCTTTATTTCAATGTTTAATAGCATTATCTGCTTTGCAGTTAAACTCATCAAACTTGGATTATGTTATTTGTATGTCTATGGGGATATATTCTGTGTAGGTCTTTAGTGCTAATGTTTTAGCCGTTGGCTGTAATGTTAGCTAGTTCATGGCTATAGGAGTCTGGGTCAGTTGTAACA